TGGGGGCGCTTTGCCGCAGTCATTAATAAAGAAGGTCGCCGAGCTCACCCTTCCAAAAGTTGTTGCATGCGCCCCTCTCAGCCTCCCCGCACTGTACTCTTTAAAACACGACTGACCAACATGCGCAATCTCTCTCCCCAGTGCTGTGCATCCCCCCCTCCCCCCCCGCGCGCGCTAGCTTCCTAGAACAGGCAGCCAGCAGGAAAGAGAGCGAGCAAGCTGAGAGAGAGAGAGAGCGAGGGAGCAAGGAGCGCTGGCATATCTGTTGCAAAAACACAAAATAGCGCCGCGGAGATGCGCAGGGCCCATCCGCCGTGAACTGGATCTTACCTTGCTCCGCGATGCCCTCCCGAAGGGCGCTGCCCTCGGCTACGCGCCGCGGCAGGGGCCGGAGCGGGAAGGATGCTCCCGAAACCCGGAGCTCCAGGGGCCGGCGCGGGCGGGCGGGGGGCGCGCATCCATCCGGGGTTGCAGCGAGGGAGGCAGCCTGGCCCACGGCGTCCCCAGCCCCGTGGCCCTGCCGGGGACCGTCAAGCTGCCGGGCCAAAGCCGGTGCCGCTAGGAGTGGGCGCAAAGTAACTCCATGGACGCTACTACCCCCCCAAATAAATACAGCCTCCTCCTGCGATGGCCGCGGTCGGCACCATTCACCAACCCCCTGTGTGTGTTTCTGTTTCTTTTTAAACCAAGACTTCCTTGTGATCTCTTTAGAGAGAAAAAAAAAATGTGTTGGGGTGGGGGTGGGGGCGGGCGGGAGGAGCGAGGGAGGGGGAGTAGCCACTTTTTTCTTATTCACTCCGATCTCCTCTCCTGACACCCCCCCGCCGTCCCCTCCCCCAGCCCAGTCGTTTGGTTCCCGCGGCGAGTCCAGGTAGCGTTGCCCGCCCCAGGGTGAGGGTGCCCAGCCGGGCCGGCCGCCCGCACCCCGGGCCCAGACTTCCCATAGGCTCTAGGGCGCCCCCAGCCCGTCCTGTCCCCAGGGCCGGGCCTGAGCGGCGGCAGCGCCCGTGCAAGTCCCATCAGGTCTGCTCACACTTCACACACTCACATTCATACCCCGCCCCTCCACTCTCACTCACACTTTCTGCTCACACCCCGCCCCCTTCGCTCCCCAGACCCGGGCGGCGCCCCCCGCAACCTTTAAAAAAAAAAAAAAAGCACGCTTATACTTAAAAAAATCTTTTGGCGCCATATTAATGACGTACTTAAAATTTGCCATTTCTCCCTGCGTCAAAAAGACGTTTCTTTGCAAATAACAGCCTGAAGGCGACACTCACGGAGGGAACGAGGTTTGCACTGAGCACCCCGCCCCCCGGGGCTCCAGCGCTAGAAGACCCTCGCCCAAGGCCTAGCTCCTAAATCGCTGATTTTAAAATGCGACTCGAATAAATCGCGTGGCGTTTTGCAGCGCCAGAAGTGAGCTGAAAGTGCTGGCAGGAGCGGAGAGGAGGGGCTCGCGGGAGTCCAGGGGAGGGGGCGCGGCCCTCCTCCCCTACCCACACCAGATGGAAACTAACATCCCGGGCGGGGGAAACTTGAAATTGTGGGCAACCTCAGGAATAGGGAGGGGCGGGCCGTAGTGAGGGTCCCCCACAGGCCCGCCGACCCCTCCCCCCCCTCAGGTCCGGTTGCCTCCAGGCGCCCAGGGCTGCCCTGCATTTCCGGGGGGTGGGGGACGCGGTGATGGGTGGTGGGTTGGTGGCATGTCTGACCCCGTAGGAGTTTTCATTCGCCCCAGGTTAACCCCATCCCCCTTGTACCCCACCCCTTTCTCCAATGCCACTAAAGGGTTAAAAACCGAGGGGCAACTTCCAAAGGCTGGCACTCGGCGAGGAAGCAGGGCGCCCCTCTCCCCACCCTTCGCCTCCTCGCCCCTCCTCCTCCGGCTCCAGTTCCCGACTTGACCTTGTGG